CACAATTGATATTTTGTCACAGATTTAATTAGTGCTGTTCACAAAGATTTGGATGAGTGAGTGAGGTACACATGTAATATTGGAAATATTGCAGCCATATACTGATAATCGAAGGTTTGTATCATTGCTAGCCTACAATCACTGATTACATTAGCCAAAGCTCATAAAAGATACAGTGTTTGCCCGGAGAGCAAACGGGCAGTGCTTCTATCATTTTAACCCATCATACCAAAAGACGGTAAACCCATCTCACTCACTCACTAAATGGCACTACGCATGAGGCCATGGAGGATACAACATAACTGGTCGACCCGGATCCGGAGTAAGTAAAAACAATCTAATGGATGTATCCGTATTAAACTGTCATAAAAACAAAACGGCATTACTCTGGACTCGTACAGTCAACGATAATTACAAGTGCTTGTGCATAATTAAATATGAGCAATGATCTGCAACGCGCCGTTAAAGCTCATTTCACCTCACCTTAAATGGCAAGACAGCACATGTTCAATTGAACAATATATACATATACTTGGTTTACAATTGGTCTTCAGCAACCAATGCTTGTTGTAAGAGGTGACTAACGGGATCAGGTTTGTCAGGCTCGCTGGCTTGGTTGAAGCATGTTATCGAATCCCAATTGCGTAGATTGATACTCATGACGTCAATACCTGGATTGTATGGTCCAGACTCAATTATCAACACACCTGTATCACATGGCTGAAAAGAAATACCATGGTTTGATAATCATGTATATCAATTTATTAGCAAACTTATTTATTACTTTATTTCAAGTAGATTAAATTAACAAAAGCTAGAATTGGTAGAAATTATTTATATAACTGTCAAAACTGATAAGTGTCAAAATAGAGTAAGAATTGCAGTTAGTTCATGTTTGTATGGAAATTAAAACTGCAAAAAATAATAACTACATCAACGAGTAAAGAGACTGACGAAAATACCACGCCCACTCGATCCAACTATTGGCCACGTTTCTTGTGTATATAAGTTTTAGACAAAGAACCAATCAATCATCATCCATTTGCAATCTCAAAAGATATCACTGGTGTCTGCGGAGAGGTTACAAATGTCACAAAGCTTCGTTCTGGCTCTCTCCTTGTAGAATGTGCACGGAGAAAACAATCTGCAAATCTTCTGAAATTAAATGAGTTTGTCAATATCAAGGATGTTGTCTCCAGTGCACGAGACACTGAACTCATGTAAGGGCATTGTCCGTGACAGAGCCCGCTGCCTGTCTGGCATGTCCGAATACCTTATATCCAGGGAACTTGAACAACAGTCGGTCACAGCTGTCAAACGATTTACCTTCAAGAAGGATGCTGGGGTCCAACCGACCAATACCTAACGCTTCACTTTTGCACGAAGGTCTATCCCTCAATCTATCAAAGCTGGTTACTGCGACATCGGAGTGGAGGTGTATATCCCCAATGCACTCCGGCACTACACCTGCCAAGCGTTTGGACATGGATCCAGTCCTGACATGTCTCCACTGTTTGTTACCACTGCACAAGGCCACCGACTGCAGGAAGGATGTGAAGTGTTCGAACTGCTGTGGAAAACCCTATGGCTTCTTCAAAATCCTGCCCTGTTTGGAAACGCAAGTTCTAAATCATAAGAATCAAGACCAAACAAAATATCTCGGACCACAAGGGCTCACTACAAGCACTTCCACCATCTCCTTCTCTGCAGCTGTCTCTCGTCCTCCTGTCACTACTGTCTCTATCGACTGCCAGACTGATCTGGCATGGTTTATGTCTGTTCAGCCACTTCCAACTGCTTTAATTCAAAAACCACTATGGTGGAGCCTGCAAAAGCAACTTTAGACATAATACACTAACAGGGCCTAAATCTCTGTTGTGGAGCTTTTAGGACCTCTCCTGTGGACAGTTTGTATGTCTGTACGAATATCTGCTTAAGACAGATGAGGACAAACCTCCAAAGTGTATCCCTTGTAATGAAAGGTTCACCATCAAGCATATATTGCTTGACTGTGTGTACTTTACAATCGCAAGGGATTCACACTATCAAAGCTAAAATCTGAAAGATCTCTTTTCCCGTGTCAGCGGGCATCTTCTTACCAACTATTTGAAAGAAATTGGTCTGTATAATAAATTTCAAATATGTATGTGGATAATTGAATGCTTGTTTTTGAATTTGGTGTGATGCTATTATCAACTGACATTAGTGAAGGCTTTGTCCAGGGGGGTTAAAGTATCGTAAAATTATTGTCCCCTGTGTGACACGTAATCCTATCATAACAAATGTAACTATCATCAACCAGTGTTTTTAAGCCAACTCATTGGTGAATATTTTTAATATTGGCTAGTATTTAGCACAACCGCCAGTAGCTAAAGTGATGACGTCAATCCTGCTAGGGTATCATGCAGGAAACAGAGGTACTGAAAGTCCCCATGATCCCAGTGAGGTGGCCTAGCTTTGGTTACTGGTGGCCTATAGTCCGTGTTTTAAGCTGTATTAATGATATTGTTATGGTCAAATATGTTTCGTAATTTTTCTTAAATATATCATGTTCAAATATGTTTCATAAATTGTTTTCAAATATAACTTTGCTTAAATAACTAAATTGTGAATCAATTAACTTGGTCTCGTTACTATGTGGCTGAATAAATGCGATGCGACGTTCAATTTTAACTAACTCACTGTAAACAAACAACATGCTGTATCAATCTTTTTCGATTTAGAAAAAGCTTATGATACAACTTGGCAGCATGGCATTTTAAGAGATCTTCATGATTTTGGATTGCGAGGTCGCAGCATACTATCAGTCACACTATTCAGCATCAAAATTAATAATCTCACTGATGTATTAAACAATAGCGTTAATGGTTCACGTTTTGTGGACGATTTCAACATTTTTTGTCATGGTAAGAATATGAATACAATAGAAAGACAGCTACAGCTCTGTCCTAACAAAATTAAAAAATGGGCCAACGAAAATGGCTTCAGATTTTCTAAATCCAAAACAAACTGTATTCACTTTTGTCATAAATATAAACCTCACAAAAATCCAGATTTATTTTTAGTTAGTACTCCTATCAAGGTAGTAGAGGTGGCCAAATTCCTGGGCCTCATATTTGACCTTCATCTGACATTCCTACCACACATCAAATAACTAAAGGCAAAGTGCCTGAAGGGGGGATCAGAGAAGCCTCCTTGACTTGTACAGATCGTTAATACGCTCTAAACTGGACAATGGTTCCATGGTCTGTGGTCGAGCCTGCAAAAGCAATTTAGAAAAAAATGGACACTATACACCATCAAGGCCCAAGGCTCTGTCTTGTCTTGGCCAACTGTTATTTTGTTAAATCTGAAATTTATGCACTCAAATATGACATGTGCCTGGAGTCATTTGCAGTGTCAAAGGGTATACAGGGTATAGCAGGTGATGTAAAAAACCTCAAACGATTACGTTCAGGTTCATTACTTATAGAATGTCTGAAAAAAAACCAGCAGTCAACCAACCTGTACTCCGCTAAATTGCTTGTCCGGATCCCGATCTCTCCACACAGAACCCTTAACACGAGCAAAGGAATTGTGAGAGACCAGGATCGTTTGCTTGCTGACATGTCTGAGATAGAAATCATCTCTGAAATGAAAGATCAAGGTGTCATTTATGTTAAAAGATTCACAGCCCATTGAAACAAAGAAACTTTTCAAACAAACATGTACCTATTTGAAGAGTTTGTCTACCCGTAGAAAAAAATATTGTATGTTTTCATTAATGCGTTTTTGAAATAGAGCTACTTAAAATTCTATAAAAGGGCCAAAGTCAAGTTTCAAAAGGGCCAAAGTCACTTTGCTAGATTTTGGCCCTTTTAGCTCTCATTTCCGTGTGTGGTTGAGACTGGTTGCCGGAGAGAGATTTTGAAAGTTTGTCACCTTTTAATCATATTTCAACTCTTTCAACAAAGTTGGCATTAGTTTGAATCATTTAAAAGTAAATCAGTAGTATGTGTTTGTACTTTCAGTGGTAGTTTATCTCACATGTTAATTCACGAGAAACTTGTTCAGACATCAGAACCTAAGGAAACTTGTGCTTCCATCACCAGGACACCTTCAGAAAAAAACACTAACTTTACAAGTTCGCCAGTTACCAAATCATCAATAATCTGCTAAACAGATTTATCATGGGTGAAAACAGAGTCGCCTCAGATCTTGCCACCTGACCAGTTCACTCAAAGTGTAGAATCACTTCCGAGCACCTCTCGAATTCAATCAGAATCATCTTGTGATCAGAAGCAACCACAATTTCAGACAGCTCCCATAGCCGAATCTGGAGCACATATCAAACAAATCTTAAAAACAAAAGATCAAATCTAGTTTAGAATAGTATCAAAGTGGCAGGGCACTCAAAGGGTCTTAAAATCAGGTCAAACACTATAACAAGTTTGGATCCCTAGAGGACATGGATGTGTCTGAAAACAGCTATCATCGGACACACAGCTTGTCGTCCTCTAGGAAGGTGAGGGGTAGATCACCCGGGCAATCCACCGAAGAAATAGTTAGTAGTGATAGTATTTTAATTAATTGCTGCTTTAAGTGCAAGATTTGAAACCAGATGCCCTTTGTCTGCAGGAGACTTATCTGAAACAGACAGATCATTTTAACTTACGTCAGTTCAATGCATATCATTATTTTTCTTCTCCAGGTGATAGGGCCACTTCAGTGACTTCAATCCTTGTGAGGCATAATGTTATCCATAGCCCTGTTACACTTAAAACTTATCTCGAAGCCATTGCAGTTTTGCATGTTGCGTTTACTCTGTGTCCACTGTACATACCGCCTTCATCAGCTCTCAGGCTGTAAGATCTTCAAGCTCTCTATGATGAACTACCTAAACCCTGTGTAATCATTGGAGATCTAAATGGCGACAACCCACTATGAGGTGGTATAAACACTTACACTAAGTGTTAAGTAATTGGATTTCATCTCCAATAATGATCTGTGCATTTTTAATGATGACTCCAACTCTCATCTCCATCCTGCAACTAGAATGTATTCTTCTTTAGATTTATCTCTAACTGATTCTAACCTACTCAACGAATTTGAATGGTCAGTCCACAATGACATTTGTTGAAGTGACCATTTCCCTATCATTATTCAAGCAAAAATTCCATCTGATATTCCACCTTCAACGAGATGGAATTTTTCAAAGGCAAGGGGGCACAGGTGGCCCAGTCGTCTAAGGCGCCGCGATTTGCTGTGCAGAGTTGCGTCCATTGGGCACGCCAGAAAGCTATGGCTGTGGGTTGGAATCCCAGTTCACCCCGATAATGTTTTTGGACCATACCCGTGCTCGTGTGTTTCACCGACGTGGTAAACGTCTGAAACCTGCATCACTTAGGGCTTTCCTCCCACATTAGGCTGACATGGCGTAAATTGTAAATATATTAACTTGGTCTCGTCGCTATATGGCTGAAATAATGCCTGTGCGACGTTAATTTCTCATTCACTCTATGACAACAGTGTCCACCACACAGTCAAAGAGAGAGTAAAATCAGTGGTAACAGGTAACCTTGTGAAATCAACGGCAGTTTGACGTCCCAACTAAACCGTTCAAGAGATATATAGATGTATTCCTGTTTAAATTCTTACACCCTATTTCTTATATTCCAGATTGCATCGAGACGCCACAGGTGATTGGTGAATTATATCTCATCCAGCCACTTGGATCACACTCTGAATTTGAATGGACCTGCACAAGTCCAACTGCGAATTACACCGAAGTATCGACTATTGACACAACATTCTCCCTAGATTATGCCATCACATGGCAACAAATCAAGCTAGGTGTACTAATGTTCCAAGGATTTTACATCCTTGGCGCTGAGAATATGCACAAACTGACCATACAAGGAAGGTATGACCTAATGATGGTTTTCATAGTTACCGGTAAGCCGTTTGGTCAGGTATACTACAAACATTTCCGAGTTGACTCCGAAGCTGAAGGTTACGCATGTCATTGGGATCTCTTCCAACCAGACACAACCATTCTCCCAGCCAGTTATGACTACATGGATGGTTTGGGGGGTGCAGGCGACCCAAACAAGAACTTGAACGGAGCAGGTGTTGGTACTTACGACAAGGACATCAATGGCTGTGCAAATGCTAACAATGCGGCTTGGTGGTACAACCCGCTTGGTTGCACAAGTCTTAAATTTGAATCAAATGGAATTCATTGGCCGACTAACCGCACTGGGACTGTTGTTTTGGAGCCTGTATATGCTACTATTATTGGCATGAAACCAGTTTACTGGTATGTGGAAGATGACCTTGTTCTTTGACATTTAGAATGAGTCTATGTTGATCAATAGTACTCCGAACGGAACTAGTATATAGCTCAAAACGTTTAAATTCATCCACACCTCAATTGTATGCATTGTGCTTTGGCTTCTTAGTTTTATGATCAGGTTCGCTGATTATTTGCCAACAAAAACGTATAATACACTGAAAATGAGGTGCATGTGAACACCTTTGTTTATTACATATTAGAACATGTAAAATGATATTGTGCTGAACGACTTGTCATCAGAGCTGCATTTCCTACAAAAACAAATTGCAAGAGATATAAATATTTGCCATTAAATTACCAGTGTGTTATGTGTATGTCTCAATTGCAACGTAAATACCATTTCTTTAAAACACTATTCAAAACGTGAAAAGAGGCGACAGCTGGCATATATTACGAACATAATTCTATGTTGATGAGCAGGCTGACTCAACTGTGACAGGACATAAAGGTTAGTGAGCTTAAAGTAACTTTTACAGGCATACAGTGACTCATCAAAATTTATGTTGTAAAATGATAATGGATACATTTAGAATCTCTAAATCCCTGTTGGGAGCTGGGGTAGAATGTTTCCCAAGCACCCCACTGCTCGTTGTAACCGGCGATAGAATTGGGAAACCTGTTTGCCGTGGGTTGTGCCCCTGTATCGCTGAAGGAAGGGAGTCAGGACGATCGAGCCAGGAACAGTGTACCTTTTGCCCAACATACCACTTCGACCCTGACTTCACCTGAACGGGTGGAAGGATGGGCCCGATCATGTCAATCGGCTGGTCATACCAAGTCCTGTGCATAACAACCTTTCTGCACAAGTTTGAATTGAAAAATGTAGGTTTGGGGCTACCAAACCATGATGCTCTGACCACCCCACCCCACGGGTCTCTTTCCACGACACAATGGTCCGTATAGCGTTCTCCCCTCCTTTGCCACACCCTCACTCTCCCATCAGACGTGGATCCACAATACCGGCTCTCGTCAGAGAAGACAGTTGTCCTCCATTGTTGATGCCGCCAATGTCGATTTTGTGTAGCCCATTGCAGCCGTGCCTGGCGGTGGCAGGCGGTGAGGATGGGCACTCGAGCGGGCCGACGGCAATACAGGTTGTTGGTAGTCAGCCGACGTCGTACCGTATCGTCACTGATCGGTCGCCCTCTAGTGCGAATGGTGTTTCGAGCTGTCACACTGGCTAGTCTGAAGCGATCCCGTAGGTGTTGGTGGTGGATGAACCGATCCTGCCTGGGCGTGTTCACTCGGGGGCGTCCACGTCTGCAGTACTGTTTGTAATGTTGTAGCGCTGCTGCAGACGGTGGATGGTGCTGACGTGAACATTGAAAGTGTTGGCCACAACCTTGGACTGTTGTCCAGCTTGTAATCGACCGATCGCTTGTTCTCTCTGTTGTGGGGATAATCGAGGCATACCTGCCGCATCAAAATTACGAGTGCCAGAGAGGCAGTTCAAGTTGATTTTTATACCCATAGCCTCCATTAGTTACACGTGCATGTTGGTGTCCACGGCAAAGCATGGTAACTGTCACCCGTTGGCTGCGTTGTGGCGACTAATATCAGGCCTCGCTGTACCATTCCATGGAATGTTTGTCTCACAAACGCATCAGGACGTCACGGAATATTCACACCTACAGTCTTGACATATATTTTCCGCATTTTACCATATAAAATTTATATTTTACAATCTCGCGTTTCTTTTGCGGTTCAGTATACATACACAATGTGGTTCTGACGCCTGACACATCTTTGAAATTGTTAGATACACTGTTTGATATAAAAATAAGGCAAATATAACTCATTGAGCATAGACAATGACAGTGCAAACATTCAGGTCGTCTTTATCGCGTTTCTTAAGGTTGTCTATGAATTATGTTTTTGCTGTGGGCAACTCGGAGAAATCTAACATACGTTCATTCAGAACGGTGTTTATTATATATTATCTGAACAAGGGACTTCGTTAATATTTAGCATTAAAAAATGTTTTGCTAAACCTATAAAATATGGTAGTATATCGTTTCCTTATAAGATAACATGAAAACAGAAAACATTCTCAATTAGTTTAGAGCTGCAACTTTAGCTTGTCGTAAGAATCAAGCATCTTCAACATTTAAAGCAGTTTATATTAATCCTGCAAAAGTAACTTTAAAAAACTGGATACTATCCATCATCAGGGCCTAAGACTTTGCCTTGGAGCCTTTAGGACGTCTCCAATTCACAGTCTGTATGTAGAAGCGGATGAACCTTCTCTTAAACAACGCCGTCTGAAATTATCGTCACAATATGTCACTAAATGATATTCTAATCAGTCAAATCCAGCTTTTACTTGCATCTTTAATCCTCTTTACCAAGATATTTATACTAAAAGAACGTCTCTTGTTCCACCACTCGGAATCAGAATCCAGTCTGCCATGGTTGCTTCCAATATTAAACTGCAAGATATAGCTCCCTCTCAACTGTTTTCAACACCTCTTTGGCAAATGGTAAGGCCAGAGGTAGACCTCACATTAACCAAATTAAAGAAATCAGATACTAATCAACTAATTTACCAACAAGAATACCTTCAATTACGAAACAATTATGACACTTATAAATCTATATTTACTGATGGATCCAAGGATGGTGGTGCAGTTGCTAGTGTCACTGTCATTGGATCCAGAACAATATCTTCGAGATTACTAGATAACAGTTCCATCTTTACAGCAGAAGCCAACGCCATTTTGACCGCACTGAAATATCTCAAAAACCAATCTAAACATAAACAGTTCATTATTTTTTCAGATTCACTTTCATTCCCTCAGGCAATCAAAAATTTGTCCTTTAAACATCCACTTTTAATCCAAATTCTTGAATTATTTAATGATCTTGCTACTGGCCAATATGACATCATCTGTTGTTGGTTACCCAGTCATGTTGGCATAACTGGTAACACGATGGCCGATGCTGCTGTAAAAGCAGTACTCAACAAATCTGTGACACCACTTCAAATTCCATACAGTGATTATAAACCAGTGATCGGATGTTACATCCGAAATCTGTGGCAAAAGAAGTGGGACACCCAGGTAGGTATAAATAAATTACTTGAAATTAAACCACAAATCGGTTACACCTACTTGGGTTGTCAGTCCAGATTTGAGGAGGTCATTTTACGACGAAGTCGTATTGGCCAAAATAGATATACTAATGAGTATTTGTTAAAGGGTGAGGATCCTCCATTTTGTATCCCTTGTGATGAGAGAATCACGGTCAAGCATGTCCTGCTTGACTGCATTGATTTTGCCATCACAAGGGATACATATTTCAAAGTTTCATTCTTCAAGGATCTTTTTAATCTTAGTTCTCATTTAATCATCGGTTTTTTAAAGGAAATTGAATTTGTGTTTTTTAAACTTGGTTGAATAAAATTAATAACTGAGATTGTTGGTGGCTGTATCCTCGAAGGGGGTTGAAGTAGTGTAAAATTATTGTCCCCCTGAGAGGGTATGTAAGACCACGTCTTTCAAAGTATATTTATTTGTACCACACTTTTAATCGTAGTATATGTGTTATTTTAATGTACGCTAACTTTATCAATAATCGCCAACAGCTGAAGTGATGATGTAAATCCGGCTGGGGTCCATGCGGGTAGCAAAAGTACTGTAAGTCCCCATGGACCCTAGCATGGTGATCTACCTTCAGCTGCTGGCGATCTGTAGCCCATGTTTATATTGTATCGTCATGTATTGTGCTATATGCTCTTTTATAATTCCTTACTAGTTTTATAGTGATTTTACTGTCCTTCGTTGACAGGTTTTTAAATCAGTTTCAATATATGTATAATGTTTAACTATTGATAGTCACCATATGGCTGAAATATTGCCGATGTGACTTAAAATTTAACTCACTCACTCACTAATAATTTGTCACGAAACATAACTTCGTGGTTAACTAATATTGTCACAGCCATGTTTTTTTTCTGTTTCTTCCACACGGCTGACTACTATAGCAGTATTTTCAACATCACCGGTACTTAGCATTTGTTGCAGGTCAGTATGATACGAATGCAAAGGTTTATCTTTTTTAAGCAATTCACGTCCAACTTTTATCATCTTATACTGGAAGGCTTTCCTCTTAATTTAATATTCATTTTGACGCGTGCACGTTGTTGTTAAGTTTCGTTGAAACCTTAATCATAGACAAAGGGTTAATGTGAAGCAGGTTTTACAACGAAAATAAAATGCGATCTGACTTGAGTTTCAGTGTGTAATTAAACTGTGTTTATTTGCTCTAAACCTGGGAATACATTTCTGAGGTTACATTAGCATTACATAATTAGTGGTGCTATACACTTTATTAACCGTAAACCGTTTGTTTGACAGAGAACAATTCTGATTTGTCCATATGATCTTGATAAAATACTGTGTAACCCACGTTGGAGGATAAAGATATTCTTGTATACCCCTCCACGAGCACTACAGGCTGCACCTGCATTTCTGAGAGGCAGAATACATCCTTTATACCCCACTTCAAAGCAAAAAGCCAACGCCAAAAGCCAATGGATGTCACATGACATAGCGCAAGCCAACCTCTGCTCAGACGAAAAGCTGTTTTCTATCAATTTGGAATTTATTTGAATTTTGTTGCAATGCAATATTGAAACATGTCGGTGAGATAAATACTTTGTAGCAGGATCACATAACGCGGGACGCATAAAACCCCATGTGCCCTCGTGATCATGCTACAACTTATAATTTGATCATCCTATGATATATACACAGAAAACTGTTGTTTGTCAAGGTCTTATTTCCTTGTGGTCCTCATGTATGAACCAAATGTAGCATTCATTCTATGCTGTCTCTGACATTGTGATGGCACTCTACATGAACCATGACACATGAGATAAAAACATTTGCATAAAAATGATCTGAGTACCGAAGGTACATTGACAACATGTAGCTAGCAATTGATATGCTAGTATGCCATGCTTCATCGATTTAACTAATAAACCTTGAAACG